CGACTCCCGGCGGCCGCAGTCACAGCAGATGTCTCCTACACTGTCCCCTCTGTCACCCATTACTCAGGTAGGAACTTCCTTGGAGAATTCCGTGTTTTCAGGCACAGGTTAATTGTGTTACTGGACCCAGGGGGAAGCTGGCTCTAAGGCTGAACTTCCTCCCTCTTGTTCTGTCATTTTCTTCTGTGTTCGTTAATTCAGAGCCTTAAAAAGGGGGAGGTTTGGAGAGGGGACAGATTTTACTTTTGCTTTTCGAGAACTGTGGCAAGAAACATCTCTTGGGACACTTTAATGTTACTGTCCCAAAGTTAGTGGTGAAATTTCTCTATTCATGAGTGAAGCTCACATGGCTTTTGAAATTGATTTCCTGAGTGTGACTCTGTGACTGATGAGATGATCAGTTTCTGACCTGGACATTCAATTGAGCCTCTTTGTTTCTTGCACACTGGAGGTGATGTTAAGTCTTTTGAAACATGTTCTTGACTGTTTCTGAACCTTTAGATAACATTTTTTAAATGCAAGATGAGATTGATTTAGTGCGTTTCTCTTGGAGTGAAAGCTGATGTGCTGGAAAGTGACGGGGAATTACGTGCCAGAGTGGATGACTTTGGTTCTTCTTTTCAAGGCCGTGGCTATGGATGCATTGTCTCTGGAGCAGCAGCTTCCCCCATATCCATTTTTTACCCAGACAACTTCCCAGCAACAGCAGCAGACGCAGGTGGCGAGTACCCTGCCTCAGAACACTCCTTTAATGCAGACCTCTGGCTTACAGCGAGGAGCACAGCTCCCCCCGCTCTCCGTCACGGTACCTTCTACCATCCCACAGTCACCTCCGGGTAGCCAGACCCAGCCATCCATGGGGATAGACATCAACTCGGTAAGCTTGGCTGCATCCCAGAGCACTTCATCCGGCACAGCTTTCATCTGGAAAACCCAGCAGTGTACAGCCTAGAGCCAGAGATCTGGCTGGGCAGACCCTCCCGTAACTCTACTTTGAGGCAGAGGCTGAAGTAGACTTAGAATGGATTTGGTTGAATCCACATTTAAATGTTTTACAGAGGAAACCTTGGGTTTAATGTGTGCTTAAGGTGGCCAGATGTTCATAATATGGTGTCCATGTTTGATTAGACCAGATTAAATAGATCAGCATTGATTTCATACCTTCCTGCTGCTGCTGCATTGATACGTTCCAGGGTGTTAGATGTAATGTGCCGCAGCACCTTGTAGGCTCCTCAGTGTGCTGTAGGCTGGAGGAGCTGGAGCTAAGAGTAAAGAAACCAAAATGCTAACAAGCATTTTTCTGAAGTTGGAGAGAATCAGGTGTTTTCTCTATTTTCTATGTTTAGAACCCTTTCATTTTAAGGAATTTTAGAGTACATTATTATCCAAAGCCTGGGTATGTGCCTGCCTTCAGATGCTCAGGAGGACTGGAGTGTGTACATACACTCCCCAGGGATTTACAGACACATTTCTTGCTTGTTTTAACATGTTCTGGTATGAAATGTTGTGTCTCAGAACCTGCAAATCCAAACTGCAGAGACCAGGGTGACCAGGGGGGCCAGGGAAGGGTTTCACAGCTTGTTCTCTGCTCATTGCGCCCCACTAGGTGGGATCTGGGTGGTCTGACCTGTTGTGTCCTCCTGGCAGTGTTGTAGGGACAGTAACTGGTTTGAGGCTGAGAAGAAATCGTTGTCTATTGATCTATCACTTGATCGGGGATTTCATTTGTGGCTGAGTGCTGATAAGTGGTTCTTGAATGAAGCTGCTTCCCTTTCAGGGCTGGAAGGGGAAGAGGGAAGGACAAATCCAGCAGTGGAAAGGATACCAGCCCACTCAGAATGTGCCCCAGTGCTTTGATTCTAATACTCACGTAGCTACAGATGATTCTGATTTTCATTCTTTGCTTTCTGTGTTGCTTTCCTCATCCTAAACTTCTTTATGCCCTTAACTTTTAGGGTGCTGTGCTTATCTTTCCAAGCAACTCAAAATAATAAACTGAAGTTTGAAGCTAGTTTATCCAAAAAGCCATTGGAGCTGTGCTGTGGTCTCACTGACAACTTCAGTGCAGGTTTTGTGGAGTGATATCGAGGTTCCTTTTGCTGTAGTTTGGTTACTCACTGCTTAAAGTGTGTGAGTAGCAACATGTAGCAGAAAGGTTCAGATATATTTTCGTGAGCTTCACAGAATTTGGTGTCAGGAAGCATCAGTAGCACAGTGTTCTGCTGGTTAAAGTACTCCTTTGCTTACAGCTACTGGATTTCAGATTCTCCTCAATCATCTGTTAATTTCTGAAGGAGGTATGATGAGAAGAGCTACACTTACTATTTAATTACTGCAACTTCCTATTTAAATGCCATGAAGATGATTAATTTGTTCAAATCTGGGTTCTTTACGACCCCCAAAAGAGGTAAATCTTTGCAAATGTGTCCTCAAAATGACAACCATGTAAATGTCACTAACACAAACCTGCAGAATGGAGTGGGGATTCTCAGACAGTGTCTGCTCCATGTCCTGGGGTAAAAGGCAGCTTTGAGGATTCCAGTCTGCATGGATGTAACTTCTGTCTTGACAAGGCTCTTTGAGAGCAGGCAGAGGGATAGGAGAAGGACTTCCCGAGATGTAAGCACAGGTCAGGGGTGTGTGCGTATAGGAGGTTAAATTGGAGAATAAATGACAGGATTTTTGAGTTATTCCCAGCTTTCAAGGCTTCTTTTCCCTAAATCAGATTGGAACTTTTTAAAAATTAAGGATAACTGAGACCAGGGAGGAAACACTCCATCAGTTGTGCTCGTGCAGCAGCACTCCCCGCTCCAGCCAGGCCCTGCCACACTGATACCCTGCCTCTGCATCGCTCGCAGTAATCCTGTCTTCACACATAGCCAAGAACTCCTCCAGAGGATGGTTTCTCCCAGCTTCCTCAAGCTCTGTACGCCAAAAGTTGATAATTTTCCAAGCTTCCATCAATCCCATGGTCTTTAATTCTGTGTTGTTCTGTAGGCTTCACTCCAGCAGTACCGCAGTAATGCTGGATCCCCAGCCAACCAGTCTCCCACCTCTCCTGTCTCCAATCAAGGCTTCTCTCCTGGCAGCTCCCCTCAAGTAAGGGACTCTGTGCTTCCACAGGCCTTGCTTCTTGTGTTTGTTTGAGTTGAGTCTCTCCATTACTGACCCATAGCTGTCTCACTGTACCTGTGTGTGCCTCATGCATTACCAATGTCTCATCTTGTTTGCAGTTTCATTCAGTTCCAGAGTTTTTCAATAGCTGGTGAATTGCCTTTTGATTGATCAAAGCTACGATTTGAACACTGTTAAACTCAGTTCTTTCTCTGGGGTGCACTGTGGACAGAACCTCCAGGGAGAACCCTTCAGTCAGCAATACCAGGTAGAGCTGATGGACAAGGCAGGGGGGAGAGAGAGGGAAACCTAAGTGCTTCCTGCAGCAGGGTAACTCCTGTGGCACTCAGTAGGCTACTGAGTGTGTGGCCAAATACCTTTCCATCAGGACCTTTTTTTTTTCACATGGGAACATACACTTTGAAAGAAACCACTGGAGAAAATGCTCTTAAAATTAGCAGCTCTGTGTTGTGGCTTGCAAGGAATGGGTTCTGAACATGCTCTCTTGCATGCTGGCTGGTTTTTCCCCCTCTGAGTGTACATTCTTCTGCATCCACGTGTCCTATATACAAGTCATAGTTTGGGGTGTGTGGAAGGGGAATTTCTACCTGCCAGCAGCAAGGCAGTTGAGCAAGTGTTTGGGGGTGCCCCAATGTGAGGGAGCGAGGGCATTTCAGCACAGAAATAAGCTCCATAGGGCTGCCCTGTTCCTAGATCCCACCTGTAGGAACAAGGTGCAAGTTCTTCCAGAGCATCACAACAGAATCTGAAAATACATTTTCTGCTTCATCATTTAACGTTTAAGGCTGCAAGGAAAATCCTGCCTAAAGAAGTGCTGCCCCTTCATGGTTCCAAAGCAGAAGCTTTGTCTCTCCTTGCTATTAGCCAGGGACAGGTCACTGGTAAGCTCAGCAGTAGAGCCCAGTGTCAGGACAGTCTGGATTTTCTTAACCCCTGCTGAATTGCTTCTTAACTTCTCTCTCTTCTGCTGCTTCTGTGAGTTCTGCTGCTCTGGGTGTGCCCCAGAGGAAACAAGCAAACTCACACCTCGAGGCTGTCACATAGAGCAGAGCTGTTGCCTCTCCTGCTGCGGGTTCTCAGGCACTGCACCCACAGTTGATTTTTGTGTTGATTTTCTTCCCCCCTTGGCTTCTCAATAAATTATTCTTAGTTTTGTCCACAGACTTGTTGCCACTGGTCAGGCCCAAGTGCAGCCAGCAGTCCCCGGTGGAGCACACAGTGACTCTATCCTGTCAGC